GTCTTTCAGTGTGGTATGTTAGGGAGCGTTTCCAAAAATGTTAATTCTTTGAAAATTCAAATTAGTTGTATGTTTTCCAATGAATTTCAGAACGGGTATGATTTTAAAGGCAATCTACGAAATATAAGCATGATTCTAAAAATGATACTTAATTAAGTATGCCTTAAATAAAAACAACATTAAAAAGTATCTTTAGGTTCTATAAATAATTAGAATCTTTAAATCTATAAAATAGGAATCTAAAGAGATCGTTAAGCTCAAACTCGAATAAAACTTACTAATTTCGGTGTCCAAGTAATAACACCCCAATTTACAGTAAACACCAATCAAACTAACTACATTTTAAACCCAACCGAACCGAACTACTTCATTCTCCTGCTCCAGAGAAAGGAAGAACCAACGATCAAGACCAGAAATGCTGGCTCCGTAGTAAATAGACGTCTAAACCTGTGTATAAGCAAGTTTAGCTCTTTATGGTCATTACCAACTAGGCTAGTTTACAACTGGTGACTTTTCTCATACCGCTGATGCAATAGAAATATGTGAAAGATAGATGGGGGAATTAGAAAAGGAGGGGGGGCAGGGTGAAAGGCAAGGTAAAAGTCTGCGCGCTTGCGTCATGTGCGTTGCCAACGTTTTCTGATCAAAAGAAAAGAATAACGTGGAATGGCAACCGCAGACGTCGACTTCGCTGCCACAGAGCTCTACGTCCGGGGACTTTGGAGAATAAACCAGTCTAGAAACGCCGCTCGGCTCTATAATTATGCTGCTTGTTCGAGTATGTATACATGAATACAAATACATCGAAATACATCGAAATACACCTATATACTGGCGGCTACAAAGGGCCTTAAACTTTGTTTAAAGTCAAGGTCAGTGATTTCTTGTGCGCCAATTGCGATGGTATCGTATCGCACGTGAAGCTGCGTGACTAACGCACTGACGCACCGACCCACGGATTTACAATCATTATTTATATCATCAAGAATTTTTAATTTGCCCTGTTCCCAAAGGGATTTCTAATTATTATGGGCAGATGGTTAGTTACTATAGTAACAATAATTATTTATTTCAATATATGTATTTTATTTAGGAAGATCTAATCTGGTCTTCTTTTTAAATACATCAATTGAATGGATTAATAGCAAGGCATAGCAAATATTTTACTAATCTAAATCTATACTCTGAGTTTTTATTTACCAATATTCTTTAGATCCCTAAATGAGACCTTGGATCCCCTAGGGTATTTTAGAGCTTCCATACCCGAATATAACCTTCCCTCTTTTTTTGCATTCATTCTTGTTTATCCCGCCTGAATTCCACGAATTGATGGGTTCAAGTGGCTTTCTGGGATGGGAAGATAATGCCGCCGCTGCAGGGAAACAAGTGGAATAGTGGGATATGGTACGGGCATCAGTATGTGATCGATATGTCCATACATTTGTATAGCCCTCTCTCTGTCCCACCGCCAGAGCCACAACTTTTGTCCTTGCCGGCGGTTCATGAACCTTCGACTTTACTCCTCTGACGAACGACGTGCTTAAGGTAGCAAAAAAAAAGATACGGCCGCAAAAAATCCAGCAAATACAAAAAAAAAGAGCCAGCCGCCAATGGCAAAGAAAAAACAATTACGCCAAGCGTTGAAATATTTTCGCTACGGCCAGAAATACAGTCGTACCTCGCAAAACTGTAATACATCTGCCACAAGAAGCATTTGCTAACGAACCGACCATAAAAATACAGAATATTACCCGCATTAAAGAGCCATTTTTAAGTTGTTCTTAACAAACAAGCACATGTAAGACATAAAAACGTTGGACTTGTAGTAAAATTTGTATGCCAACTGAAATATTTAGGTTTACATAACTTAATGACAATTGGAAAAATATGCGTTTAACATCTTAAATAAACCTTGACACAACCAAACAAACATAAAGGTTGTCAAGTCATTGAGTCATATTTGCTAACAAATAAATAATAAAATAAATAAAAGAAAAAAATCTGCATTATTGAAAAAAGTGTACATTAAAATCAGAGAGCCTACAAATATTGAATTAATACGATTTATATAAAACTTACAATTATATTGATAAGAAACTGTGATAAGATTCTTTATAAGAAAAAAACGTCATTGAAGACTGTAAATCGAAAAAAAGTACAGAAACCATAAATGCTTTAAAGATGTTTTCTTACAAAACAAATAAATTCATTACAATATTATGATTTTTATGAAAATGTGTTGACATGTGAAATACGTAGAATGAGTTGAAGAAATGCCAAAAGCTGTATTTTTCTACCGTTGGAGGGGGGATTATGTTAGACCCCGACACGGCAACGTTCATTAGCCTACCGACCTCAGCCTCAAATGTTTTATTGCCATATTGACAGACAATTCAATCGAGCGCGTTTCAATAACCCAGCCAGGCTAATAATTTCCATGGGTGAGAGTGAGAGGAACAAAAAAAAAAAGAAATGAGGGAGGGGGATGGCGATCGAGCGATCCCTTTAGCAGCTGTCACACTCAACTACCGCCGCCAGATGTTTCCCTTGATCGGAGGGGGAAAAACCCAACCCATAAACCATATAAAATACAACGATCACATATTTGTTATGGCTCTTTCAATAATTTTTGGGAAAGACGTTGGGCTGGAACAAAATGTGACACTTGAAACCGGAAATTAGCAGCAGCAGGCGATGCAGCTGTCGCTCCCTCTCTTTCCCTCTTTCCCTCGTTCACTCTCCATCCCTTTCGCTCTTTCGAATGCCAGGTGAAGCCGTGTTTTAAGAGCTCTCTATATGAACAATGCATTCAGTCATTCGATCGAGCCTCTCTTACAAGCAGGAAGTGGTGAAAATTCAGAAAGTGTTGCATGTTCTCTTCCCATCTATGGACAGTCATTTGTCAGTTCTTATGTCACTAATGGATCGGCCCATTGGTATTATAAGCAGTTAGTTACACCTTTTTGTTCGGGAACACGAGCGCTTTATGCATGGTATAAGCAAGAAAAACAAAAACGGGGATTAAAAAAAATGTAACTAATTTCCTTCATAAGCTCTCTTGATTGTCGATTTTATAACCTAGATAGAGACAATGTTTTGGGTTAAAGACATTATTTATAAAGTGTTAACCACAATTTGAGAAACAATTCTTAATTAATTCTTCTTAATTCTTAATTCTTTCTTAAATCGACCTTAAATCAGTCAAGATATATGAGATAAAAGTATTTACAAATCTTCTAAGTGGTCTATAGTATATGATATAAAGTTATTATGTTGAATTCATATAAAATGATTCTCTAACACAGACAGAAGAATCTGAGAAGACAACATTTATAAGATTCTTTAAAATCTTTTTTAAATATTTTTCAATAAATTAAGTGGACAACAGAATACTAAGAATAAGAATTCGATGAAAGGCGGTTTTTTCAATTTAAATTTTGTGGAGTACGTAACTTTAGCCACTTGGCCCGCATACGGTTGGGGATCCGTTTTTTTGGAACACTATTAAAAGGTTCGAGGCCGATGGTTCTCGGTTTTCAACGCCCACCATATCCCATTACATTAAAGCTAATGAGGGCACTTTATTGAACTCTCTTCTGTTGTCTTTCTTCTCTTTTCGGTGTCTTCCCGCTGTGGATGTGCACTGACCTCATAATTCGCATTAAACTAATAAGCGAAGAAGACGCCCCCTCAGGAAATTTCAATCAGCTTGTTGAAATCCGAACTTAAGTCTGAGCTTTTTTCATACTGTTCTCCAATTCGTATTTTTTTTCCTTTTCTTTTTTATGTGATTCTCGGAAAGTTCACGGGTTGGTCAAAATGTTGCGAAAATATTGTTGCGAAGGGGCGAGAGACTTTTTAACTAGAATGGCGAATGGCGAAACTGAAACCGAAAAAGAGAGATGGGGTCTCTAACACAGAGACACAGCCTTTAAATGACATTAGTTTGGACATAATAAATAAAACGTTAACAGACATAGAAAAACAACAGCGGCAAGAGTCAACGAACGGCTAAAAAATTCACGAACTTGAAAAAAGTGTGTGGCTAACGCTAACGTCGACGCAGGCAGAACGGCGATGTCAATAAACCAACTAACCAGCGACCTGCGGACCATGAATAGGCGAAAAAAAACAAAAAGCAAAAATAAACCCACAAAAAACGGACAAACTTGTTGCTCTTGCACAGCAACAAGAAATTTGGCTTTAATACAAATATAAAAAAATGAGAAATAAGTATGTGATTCCATCAACCTCTCTTGATAATGTCCTGTGGTAAAATGTATCACGTATACCACAAACTTCGGGCGGAAGTTGAAACAACAAGTTAGAACTATATTATCAAGTGTCTCGACTAACAAGATATCTTGCCTTCAGTTCGTAATATTTTTCTAAATAACACAAAATTAAGAGAAAAAATCTTTAAAACTCTTGGTTCTACAGACTATTGTGCATATATTATAGGTTCGTAATCCCATTCATAATAATCCAGTTACGTATTTTTCTCCGAATACAATATACCCTTTAGGTTTACGATTGCCGGGTATAAAAAGACAAATAATAACAGCATTAGCACATGTTTCGCCTTCGGTATGTGGGGTCCTATATCTTCTGCCATCTCATTCACTCTTTCCCTCTGTCTCGCTCTAAAGGGGACCCGCATGGCATATCAATGAGAAGAAGAGGAGCTACTCCAGACATCCGACGCGTACGTGAGATATGATGAATAAGCCAACGTCCATCCCCTTTTCCGGCGTCCCCATCATATCTCACTCCATTGAGCTTCACTTCACATGCTGGCAGGTATTGGGTTTCTAGTACGAAGGACACACGATGGCGAAAAAGAGAGAGGGATTTGCCAAAGCGGTCTCAAGATAGATTTATTGTCTATGCGGATGCATAAAAGAACCCAAAAAAACATAGACTATAACGAAAACTTGAATACCCTTAAACAGAATAGAACAACTTAATGATGTTCTGATGTCAAGTTTTCCAAAACTTACCTCATAATCACTCCAATGTCAGCCGTAAGATTACGATCTTAGGTCAAGTCTAACAGGTTTTTCTAAAAGTAAATAAAAATCAATCATGTTTTACTACAAGAATCATATTTTGTCTTAACTATAGGCAATAAAAATCTTAATTTGCTTGGAGCTTACGAAAACTCATGTTATAAAGATATAAAGTTGTTACGTGTGTTGGTTATACCGACTTCATTTATAATTAAGATCCATTTTGCTTTCTTTAATTGACGTCTTACTTGTTGGCAAGATAATGAAGACATTTGCTAGGGTATACAAGCCCTTAAGTACACGCATTATTTCCAACATGTCCTTTGGATCTCTTGTACCTACTCCCCCACTTTTTTTATTTGGTTTGCCCTGCGAAACACTTTACGTTAATTATGCACTGTACACAAAAAAAGAATCTTCCCTGCGGGGTACTGTGGTTGGGAGTTGATGGGAGGTGGGTGGATGAGAGACCACATTTAAAAGCTTTGTCACTGCGGTCCGTTGTTAAAGGTGGGATTTTCTTTGGGTGTGGGCGGTTCTCATCTAATTGATGAACGCTGTTAATTATGACCGGCTTTAACTGTCACTTTTTGGGCCATTTCTCAGCTCAAGTGGTTTAATGAAAATGGGGTGGTGGGTGGCTGGTTTCCTATCTAGTAGAATGAGACATGAAAGTCTACTTTGCCACCTGAATTCAACGCTGAGCTTAAATTTGACTTTGTAAAGGGTGTCTTCCCACGGAAGCTTGAAACAGCAAAAGTTTATAGGTAGATTGTTGATTTTCTTGACCTTAGAATCTAAAACGGTTTAACGACCAAAATTTAAAAGACAATGATCTTAAAGCGGGTATAGGAGAAGTCTTATAAAGACAAGATTATTATGGTTTTGGAAACAATCTTTTAAACAAATTAAAGCAGTTTTAAGTAATTTTGTAACGCTTCGATAGTTGAAGAAACCAAAACGGAAATTTAAGAACTACATTTTAGTACTGGCTTATTTTAATAGTCAGTAGTAAAGTCTAAACAAAAAGAGTTTAAGTTAAGTGTTGAGTGTTTTTTTTATTTTCTTTTAAAAGATTAATTCGACGTTTTTGGAACACTTAACATAAGGAAGTCTATCCTGAACATTGGTTAGGACTCCTAAAAAATTTTCCCAATGAATTATTTAATTGATTTAAACGTGTTTCAAGTTGCAAGTTATGATGGATCCATTTCGGATCAGCAATATCATCATAACCTGTGAAGAGGAGAATGGTGGAGGAGGATAATTGGTGCCCGGAGCTTAATAGCCTTCCTTTCTGGTTTTCTTCACGACTCGGTTCAATGCCGCAGCGTCTGTTCCAGTTACCATTCCGTTCCACAGTTCGCGATCTTCACACGCGCAAAAAAAAAAACAAAAAGGGGGTGGAGAGGTCAGGGAGGGGGGGACTGGGGAACGGGGGGTGGTAGATAGGTTAGCTAAGCGTCTGTTTCTGTTCTTTTGTTTCAAACTCGTTTATTGGCTCTACCTAGGCAAGCATTTCAACTTTCAAAAAGAGCCAAAGTCAGCGACCAGGTTATAGTACCCACATCTATGTATATAATATGGTATTGTGGTATATGGTATATGTATGTGCTTTAGACCCCGTGACTCCGGCGAAGAGTCTTTTGTGTCTGCGCTGTTGGCCAAAAATTCGCTTTGTTTTGCACTCGACAGCGCGCGCCTTCTTTATTATTATCTGCCTCTCCTTCGCCTATTTGCTTTTGAGAACTTTTTGTTCTTCTGGCCTGGCGCATTTTCATCTTGGTATTCTTGGTTCTTAACTCACGGGTTCTTGGCTCTTGGTTCTGGGGTTATTCTCCGTCCCCCCAGCTGTCGTTAGGTTTTCTCCACATTTCGCTGTCTCTGCTAATGTCTTTGTTACCTTCATTTTTGGGGTCTCCGGCCGAGTGTGTGTTCTTTCACCTTTTTCGGGTAGTGGAAACTTTTTTTTTTGGCAGAAGGTCAACGTTCATAATTGCTTGTGATACACTCTTAAAGCCAACGAACCGCATGCGTTTAGACCAACGACTCCTTCTCACAACATTCCAAATTGCGATATTAGATGCGGCAAATTATTATACTACGTACAGTCAAAGCTCGCTAGGGAGAAAAATTAAGGTTCCATAACATGATTTATTCAGGGTTAAGGAATTTAATCTATAAAACACCGGAGTATTGTTTTTATTCATATTATTTCATGAAATTAATATGCCACAAACTTGACTTGTTTAAGCTCTAACTTTTTAGGTTCGTCTGTGTATAATTTTTTTGCTGTTCCAACGGAAATGGCACTTTAGGGTCGGTTCAGAAGTTTTCTTTGCTTTTTAATTTCGCCTTACCCCTTCCTCCGTAATCCACTCACCATATTTTGCACGCCCCTTGATTATTTCTTTAATCAGATGTAGGAAGTTCTTTGAACTGAACTTGGCAAAAGCGACCTCCCTTTCTCTCAGGGGCATTTGAACGTTTCCTTTGCCGATTCGAGTGGGTTATTCCCCACTAATTTCCCCAAAGAACTTTTTGACGGAGACCCGCGTTCTCTGGGGAGAGTTATGTACTCAGGGCAATCTGAGGGTTAGGGTTAGGTCGGTCAAAGGTTCCGCCAGATTACCGATGGGGCCAGGCCCGGAAAACATTAGTTTTAGAGGGGTGCCCCAGTGCTGTCATCAGGCTCAAAATTGAAACAATTAAATTATTCCATAATTATATGGATGGTCTAATGCTGTATGAAGAATTAAATGAACGGAACTCCAGCTGAGAGCCGCGCCTGCACAAAACATCAAGTATCATTAACCAGCTTTATGGGTTGTATTTTATTTGGAGTTGTTTGTACTTAAATGAACTCGAATTGGTCAAGAAAAAGGGGAGAAGGAGAAAAGTCATCAACTCAAGAAGAAACATTAACAAGTAATAGAACAAATTTAATGAAATAAAGACTATGTTTTACTTGTTAACATTTTTGACTAAAAATTTGGTTTAATAATGAAAGTAAACTATTTAACAATAATAGTTTTGAACAATTTTTTAAAATGTAATTATGATAGAAAAAGCTCGTATTTTTAAGAAAACCAATTTTAGAATTAAGCGTGGCAAACCTTTTCGGTTTATTTTAGTTATTCTTATCCATTTACTTTAGCGGTCGGCAACTTCTTATTAAGCGGGCATAGGGAATTGCTCTGCCCGATCTCTGCCGCCACACAAACAGTGAAGAACAGCGGTCAATAACGATGGTAAGCTTTTCCGTGTAAATTATTTACACAAATAAACCAGATAATATCACTGTATTCCGTGTTTTACTTTGATAAGGTGAAAAAATATTGAAAATCTATCTTCTTGGCTTTTCTTCAATCAATCATGCTAGTCTTTTGCATTTCAATTTAACAAGAAACATTAAAATGAAAAAATAAAGGTAAAACTTGATTTTTAAACTGTTTTAACATTCTCAAATTTATTTTACTTCTTTTTAAAGTGTAAGCCAAAAGCTGAACAAAAACAACAAAGACAATGGCCAATCATCAAGAAACATCGACAATAAAGCAGCTGAAGAATCAGAGAAGAACGTCGACATCAACTGAAGAATCGGAATCGGTGAAGAACGTCGACAGCGGCGTTGGCGTACGAACATTGACCTTCATTAAGAAAGAAGAAGCAGAAGAGGTAGAACCCACTGACGGCAGCAACAACACTTCAAGCTCGCTCTCTCAATCTCCGCTTGTTGCTGTTTTTTATTGTTGTTTTGGCCATCAATCAGTCAGTCATCTTGCTCTCTCATTCACTCAGATGCAGTTTCCTTTAAGTTCAGGCTTTCTTTCTCTCTCTCTCTCTCTCTCTTTGCTGCTCCCCCCTTCCCATCAACTGCATCTATCGCTTACTCACCGCCAACAACGGTAAATTTGCTTACGTTTTTCTGGTTTAATAAACATAATATTATTTAACACTGACATTTTACAACCAAGGAACTCGAACGCCAAATGCAAAATAATTTACACTGCGATTAAAAAAGCTGTTCTGTTGGTATTCATTTTGAAATTTTGAACATTGATATATTTTTAAAGACCAAAAATAATTTTTCTTTGATTTGTACATTTTGAAGATATTGTTTTTGGAAGATTTAAATATTTCTCCTCAGTAAATTTAGATTGTGTGATGAAAAAAATTCTAAGAGTTCTATACCTCCTAAGAATCTATTTATATGATCAGAGTGGTACAAACACAACGCCCAATTTGTTCTGGTATTTTTTAAATAATAACTCCAAGCCCTGATTTATAAGCAAGCTTTATACATACATAGGTTTTCCAAAACCGAACCCCATTACTGAACCGCTGAATAAGACGATTCAAAACTAATTATTGGGTATAAATGTATGTTCCATTGAGTTTTACTAATTTGAAAGCTTGATCAAAAGTTACTGCTCATTAAATTTAGATGGTATGGTGAAAAAATGTTTGAAGATTTAAAAACCTCTCAAAATTTAAAAGGGTTTAGTGACACAAAACCTAAACCTAATTTAATTTTTTTTTCATTAATATATTTAAGCAACTTATATAAGTAGGTGTTCCGAAACCGACCGTTGAACCGTTGAATAAGACGATACGAAAATAATTTTTCGGTATATTCATATGTATGTTCTTTTGATTTGTACTAATTTTGATTGACTAAAAGTTGCTACTCATTATAATTAGATAGTATGGTGAAAAATTTTTTAAAAATTTGATTACCTCTTAAAATCTATATGGTTAGAGTGACACATTTCCATTAATGTGTTTAAGAAACTTATTTAAAAAAGTGTTCCGAAACCGACCCCATTACTGAACCGCTGAATACGAAAAATTCAGTAAGTGTATATTTAAAAAAAATATTTTTTGAAGTGTCAACTGGCGTCGCTGTCGACGCCTACTGCTCTGCCAGCGTTAAATGAGCTTTGGGAGGCGGGACCGGGGGGCGGGGGCACATTCACTTCTCGTTTTGAGCTGAATCACCATAAACCAAAAGCCACGAGTTGCGGGCCAGCGAAAGAATAAATAATAAGTG